CTTTCAAGGGAGGAAATTTAGATGCATTTAGAAAAACAAGTCCTATTTCAGGAGAGAGTAACTGCCCTTGTTTTGGTGGAGAAGATAATTATTAGGATTACAACTAGAACAAGCCTTCTGAGATAAATTGAGTTTAGATTCTTGATCTTACCAACCTTATCATAAGCACCACTTTGTAAATATGAACCCTGAGTAATATTGCCAGTTGGCACATGCGATATATATTCTAAAGATATAACTTATATTTTAAAGGTGGGTATTGAATATTTCTCACAAGTGACTTCATAAGAAGGTGTTGACTAAAATAAACTAACACCTATGAAATTTAGTCCCTACAGTTCTAGTTCAATTTTGCTGAAGAAGATCCCCAGAAATGTGCCTTGTGAACTGTTCTGTGTGAGGTACTAAAAGTACACTTTCTGTCAACTGTCTTAGTACAATTAGTAGTCTATAACTCACCCGACATTGAAAGTAAAGTGAACACAGGATGGTTAGGAAAGTGCATTGTAACACAATACTTAGAAACTCTCTTTGGTTCTCTATTTATGCCCAAGTGAATGGTTTGGAACTACATGGGAATGCCCAGGGGAGCTCCCTGAACATGGAAAGAAAAATAGATAGGTACTGGGAAGATGAAACCAGATGCCACCCTCACCTGAGAGTCGTGTGTGCATGCTCTATTTACTGTCCCCATCGACGGTTAAGCATGGAGACATAAATGAGAGGTCTACCCACTATCTCATGCTGTTAGTCCTGTGAATATTTACAATAGAGCTCTTTTCCAAAGCTGTCAGAGCCACCTCCAAGAACCAATTAGTCTCTTCCTCCAGCTCCAGTGCTGCTACTGAAGCCCACTCACTCACAAGGGACCATCATCTAACCCAATAACAGCAATCCTCTCCAGGCTGTTTCAGAGAAGGAACAGAATTTCTCCAAAATTTCATCTTGTCAATGTAAATGTTGTCCTATATGTTGAAAACCTGAGTGAAATTATGTTTAATTCATACAATATGTTTATAATTTCCTACACAAGATGTTCAACCAAACTACGAGATGATTTCTTCTTTTCTGGGCACCACAGTGTAGAAAAGAGGAAGTGTGACCATTACAGATCTTATTGACCTGGTAACATTCATTGAATTGGCCACAAACTAATCTTTACTTTAGAAAGCTCTTCTCAGGTCATTACAAAGACTGTTTCTTTTTTTCCCCAATAAACTAAATGATACTCACCTTTCTTATCACAACTTTTACACTCATTTCATTAAAGAACCTCAGCTGATCCTCCATACCTAGTCCAATTCCCCTCTACCTATGTATTCTTTACATCTTGTTGTTTACACAACAAGAAGAAAGTAGTAGGGAGTAATTTTGATGGTACACTACTGTAAACCCAGCATTTGGGAGGCTGTGGCAAGAGGGCAGGGAGATTAAGGCCAACTTGGGCTACATGAGTTCAATGCCAGCCTGGATTTAGCAGTACCCTGTCTCAACCAATTAATCAATCAATCAAATTAAAATAAAAGAATATGGCCTTTTTGGGAACCTAGCTTCCTGCTTTGAACCTCAACTCTACCCTTTATTAGCATAAGATGGGGCAAAATTTACTATCTGCATCCATTTTTCATACTTAAAACAGAGATAACATAGCACAATCTACCCATAGGATTGTTCTAAGAATAAAGTAAAATTTTATGCAAACATATAAAGGATTTAGGGGAACTGGAGGGGTAGGGAAAGGAAAGAAGGGAATGGAAAAATACGAGAAAAGGAAACAATGAAAACAAAGTCTTTTCAAATAGGGAGGCATGGAGGGATTGAAGGAAGGGCAGGGGAATGGGGAAAAATAAGAACCAAGATATATCACATAAAGGTACAAATTTCCAATGATGAATGTCATCGTGTTGTGTACCTAAAATGTACCAATAAACTTAAAAAAAAAAAGAACTTAGAACAATGGCAACAAATAGTGGGTAAAATATGTTAACTATTATTATGAGAATTTAAAAGTATTTATTTATAAATACTTGGTTCAGTTTTTAAACATTCAAAACATTTATTGAATGCCTACTATGTGCCACACATTCTATAGGACATTCCAGTGAAGAAATCTGGCTTTATGTGGTTGAGTTAAGCAAGGAAGAAAGAAAAATAAAGAGTGTAAAAAATGAGTGAGAAAATTATACAGTATATTAGAAAGTGATTCTTGAAAGTAGGAAAAGGAATAGAGTAACCATGAGTGGAATGAGATTCTCAAAGAATATGTCCAGAGAAGGTGTCACAGAGGAAGGGACACTAGAGCAAAAGCTTGCAGCAGATTCCTGAGTGAAGATAGAACAGACACTGCAGAGGCCCTGAGGCTTGGGTGTTGCATGCTCTGTGGGTAGGAAGGCAGTCAGTGCCGCTGCAAGGAAAAGAATGGGGGGAAAGACTGAGTATGGAGACGGATGTCGAAAGCAGGACTCAAGAATTAGATCTGTGTGAAATGCAGCCATTGTAGAATTTCTGGGTGAAAACTAATCTGGGCTGGCCTGCATTCTGAGATCATTGCTCCTGTTCTGTTGATGTAGACCAAGTGTAAGGGTGAAAAGACCAAAAACAAGAAAATCTAGTAGGAAACTATTGCCAACCCATGTGTGTGATGAGAGGAGATCAGTCCGCCATGGTTGCAGGGAACAGCCTGAGACACAATCAGATTCTAGCTACATCTTGAAAATAGAGATAAATATTTTCTTGATATAAGGCTGGCAGGGAGCAGCATAGAAAAAGGGAGGATAATCCTGTCACTCATGAGAACACCAGCAGTAGTTATGTTTGTTGTGTGCTGAGTCATTGACAGGTAGCAAAATGCCTGGCACATAGTTGTTACTAAAAATATTTGTTTCATGAAAAAATTAACAGTACTCTAAGAGGTCAAAGTTCAAATTAGAATTTCTTTTTTATTGTATGTTGTCTTGTAATTCTGTTGATGGTTTCTTTTGCAGTGCAGAAGCTTTTTAATAAGATGAGATCCCAGTTGTTGGTTCTTTCTGCTAGTTCCTATGCTACTGAGGATTTGTTCATAAAATCTTTTCCTATGCCAATATATTCAAGAGTTCTGCCTAATTTATCTTTCAGCAAGTTTAGTGCTTCTGTTTTAATATTTAGATCTTTAATTCACTTGTATTTTAATTTAGTGCATGGTGAAAGATAAGGGTCAAAAAACTTTTACCAGCTGCTCCTCAAAGAACTATTATCTAGAATATATAAAGAACTCAACACAATCACCCCCCAAATATAAGGACCCGATTCAAAAATGGGCATCTGAAATGAACAGACATTTCTCAGACAAAGAAGCAAAAGCAGCAAGTATATATATATAACAAAATTTTCCATATCACTGGTCATTCAGGAGATGCAGATGAAAACAACACTGAGATTCCACTTCACCCCACAAAGAATGGCTTCTATCAAGAAATCAAACCATAACAAATGTTGGCAGCGTTGTGGGGAGAAAGGAACCCTTCTCCTTTGTTTGTGGGAGTGTAGAATGGTGCAATCACTATGGAAATTAATATGGAGATACCTCATAGAGCTGGGACTAGAGGTTCCATTTGACCCAGCCATCCCTCTGCTTGGTATATTTCCAAAACAATTAAAAGAATCGTACCAGACTGATACCTCATAGAGCTGGGACTAGAGGTTCCATTTGACCCAGCCATCCCTCTGCTTGGTATATTTCCAAAACAATTAAAGAATCGTACCAGACTGATATATCATCCATGTTTATAGTGGCACAGTTTGTAATAGCTACAACCTGGAAACAGCCCATTTGCCCATCAGTTGGAGACTGGATAAAGAAGATGTGGTTTTTCTATAAAATGGAATATTACTCATCCATAAAGAATGAGAAATTAGAGTCATCCATAGGAAAATGGATACATATTGAGGATATACTCCTACGTGAAATAAACAAGTCACACACATGTAAACACCAAATAGTTTCTCTGGTGTGAATAAACTATAATAGTATGTAAGATCCTAATGCTATAATGGACAATGTGAAATAGGAAGAAAGGGTCTAAAGATTTAGGGAAAGTGGCAAAGGTAGGGGAAAGTTAATAAGGGAAAAGAAAAAAATATGAAAAATGGAAATGAGGTATTTGTAAAGTGGGAGAGGAGGAGAGGTGAAGGGAGAGCAGGGACAGGGGAAAAAATGAGAACTGAAATCTGTCATGTAAAGGTACAAGATCCCAATGATGAATGTAACTGTACTGTATACCTAAAATGTACCAATAAACTCAATGAGGAAAAGGAATTTCTTTTTTATTTTTAAGCAGAAACAATTTTGTCCTAACAAAAGCAGTATTTGGGAAGTCTACTAGTAATTAACAGATTGGTGCAGATAAAATCAGAGAATAGAGAGGTAGAGAATCTTAAGTGGTATTTTTATCAGACCAAGAAAAATAGATGAATCAACCTACAAAGTACTTCTCCTTAGTGCTCTGAGGCCTTGTTTGTCCCTTGACAGTGTCTCATGCACGTCAGATACCATGGGTACTTTTGGCTGTGTGCTTTCTGCAAGGACCAGGCTGCCTGTAGCCCACAGATAGTATTTAGATATGGATGTCACATCATAAATTTACCTATTTGCAAGTCTAGCTCCTGGAGCCATTCATTTTAAGATGTTTTTTGTGTATACCTAATTTCATTAATTTTCTATTATTTTATTAGTAAATGACTGAAAAGAAAGGCACATGGAACTATGGTAGGAATTTACAACTAAGAGGTATGCATGTTTATTTAGTTTTTTTGCCCCCTTTTAATCCATGTTTTGCTGCAAAAGTCTTAGGTTTGGGAAAAATTTCTGTCACCTAGAAATGATCTCTTCCCTCTCCCATGCAGTATAGCTACATTATGTCTTTCACATGCAAGTGTAAAATGCTGTCAGTTTCTTTCCTTTTTTCATAAGGAAATATAATGATTGCTTAATAATTAGTAGAAAATGTGTCTTAGCTTACTGTTGTCCAGTAACAGAATGGACTTTCCTTCCATTTTGCACACTGACATGGTCTTCCTTTTTGACAAGAGCACATGCATAGTTATACAATTCAAATCTGAAAATAGAGAAAAGGAACCCAGGTTGAGTCAATAAATTTGATCTCAAAAGTGAGAGCTCAAGACTTCTTCCCAGCCAATCGGAGTATTTTTCAGTTAACTAAACATACACCATCATTGCCACTTAATAAGCATTCCTTTTGTTCCTTAGAGCATTTGGAGGAATTATTTATTATGAAATAAATAATTGTATGATATCAAAATTCCAAACATGCTATAAATTTCTCTTATGTAATTAAGCTAACCAACTGACTACAGTTGCTTTAATCTGCCATCTAACTATGTTAACCAGTATAGTAAGACCAATTAGAAACCCATTTCACTAATCTGAAATTCAATGACAGGTATATTGAAGTAGGGATCTGGTATATTTTAAGAGATCAGATTTTTGGAAAATTAAACACATTCACTAAATTCACACAATTGTTACAGCTTCCAAATGCACTGGCTAGCCTCTGTCTGAAATAACTTTTCTTCTATGCATCACTTCTTTTATTTTTTGAGAGATATAACTGTACACAAGGACATAAAAGGAAGTAGGACAGCTATATAAATACTCAAAGCTTTTCAGAAAGGAATTTTCAGCTAGATAGGTAGTTCAGTGGTACAGCACTTGCCTAGCATTTGTAAGGCCCTAGGTTTAGTCTCTTGCACTGAAGAAAAAAGTGTCATCCATGAAATTATATCGATTAGAAATGAAAACAACTATTAGGAAAAAGCTCATTTTAGGGACTTTGTATCTATGATGTCTATCTGTTAAAGTCTATTTAACTTCTTACATTCAATAACAAGAAGAAATGCATTAAAAACACAACAATTATTGTAGATGGAATAAGAAAGATATTGTGCAATAATAAAAAAGCCCTTGATTAAATGCTCTATTGCCATCCATCAATAGTATCATTAGGCATTAGACTTGAGGGGTTTTAATAAAGAATCAAAGACCAAATGAGAATAATTTAGACTCTATTATTCAGGAGGCAAGAAATTGGAATGATAATCACATCAATGAACCAAAAATAAGGGATCAAGAAAGGGTATTTAAAAGTGAGTAAGAATAAAATACACAAATTTAATCTAGAACAAGCTCATACCTCATTACAATGACTTGGTATTTAATCTAGGCACACAATTCCAAACCAGCACTAGAAAAATCATGGCTAGATATTTTCTATGGTTGATTGCCTTAGAAATGCTTCACTGTTTAATTATTATAATCTCTAAAATTGAAAAATTTCCCCACAAGTAGAAATTTTGCAAACTTTGAAACTTAGCACAATGTGACACGGTTCCCCCCAAAATGCTAAGTGATGACATCTTCTTCCCTATGTGGTTGCCTGGCTACCCATGACTACTTATTTATCTGTTCATTCAAGCAACTTATAGCTCTTCCCTGTGACATACTATATGCTACCACATATAAAAGAAATATCCTGAGAGTCTCAAATCTCCTAGTATCTGAGAACAGATGAACTTGCAGAAGCCCTCTGTGGATTTGTGATGTGTGGGGCTTTAATGCTTTGTTTCCTTGCAGTACACAGGAAGTAAATCAAACAATTCAAGCACTGGACATTAAGAATACCCCCAGCCTCAAGGGAGGATCCTTCTCCTAATGGAAAGATTATTCTCCAAACCTCATCAGCAGTGCCTGCCTCAAGGTGACTCACTCTCCCACCTGAACCTGCAGCAATTTCTTCCTCCACTGCTCTTGCCAGACATTAGCTGTTGCCATCCTCCACAAAGGGACATTAATAGTCTTGAAGGCAATATGCTGTTTTTGTTCTTGCCTCCTTGTCCCCTCCCTCCGAGCTCATTAACTTATATCTGCCCTCTAGGAGTGTAACTAGTAATCATCTAAGGTGAGGTGGAAAGATCTTGCAACTTCACAGGAAAAGAAGAGAGGGGAAAGATTTTTTTAAAGTAAGTTATTAAAACCAGGAAGACACATTCTTCATGAAGGAGAGTTCAGCTATTCCCAATGTCCTTAATGGTGGTGATTGTCAATGTCATTTATTAATATATTTAAATTTATTCTAGATTCAAGTACAGTAATAAACACTACCTTCTCACCTCTTAAAAAGTATATTTTATTGACAGATAGCATACAAAAGATGAGCACAGATGACAAAACATGTTGAGATAACACCCGAACAGCCTGTGTATTGTGTAGTTCAAAATGGGGAGAGAAAACCTTTGCTTGTTTTTTTGTGGTAATATTAGCTAAATTCAAGACTGTCACAGATTGAGGCAAACAAATACTTACTTGGAATTGGAGATCCATTCTTCAAGAAAGCCAAACCCTTAAGAGGCTCTAAGGGTTATCTAAGGAGTTCTGACTAGGCTTTCAAAGTAAAACAAAAACAGAATGAATAAAGAAATACCATGGTGCACGCAGGGATGTCTGACAGCCAAACCTCCCATCCAAGCTTTGGAAATGATGCTACCCAGAGGCCACACACCATGCCTATAGGTACTGTGCAGGAGTGTTCACTTCCTCTGTCACCCAGTGAAGAACATTTAGTCAGCTTGAGCAGAAAACATTTCTAACTCCTGTGTTAAATATGGGGCTCAGTACTCCCTTTTGAAAAAGCTCAGCTCTAAAACACTAGCACCCAATTTATAATCCGCTTTATGCATTAAAAAGTTGTGTGATGTTGAGATTCCTATTTTATGAGCTGAAATCATATAGATTCATTTAGATTTGCAAACAATACTGATATTACTGGAAAAATGTGCTGAAGAGCTCACACAAGCCTCTTCAGAAGCTCAAACATTTTCCCTATGCAAAGACACTTCAGAACTGTAGTGACATTATGCTTTGGAAGCAAGGAAAGTGTTTTTTCCCCCTCCAGGTGGGACAGAAGGTACAATTTCTTTAAGACCTTCATAGCTTTTTCAGAGTTTCTAAAAATCATCACTGTCACAGAAATTCTATTTGCCCTGAAATTTTCCTATTGGAAAAAAAACTAAGCATTCCTTTCAAATCCACCTACACCTATCTGCAGGTTTCCCAGGTAGTCACATTTTTGTAATGAGCACAGATTTTCTTTCAAACTCAACAGAAATGAGGTACAAGTCAGATTAATGATTGGGCATGAGGGCTTATGTTTATTTTTATCATTACTTTATATTACAGAATATATCTTTTATATGAATATAAATTAGGAAGCGAAAGTAGCATAGCCCCTGCTACTTAAAGTTTGGCCTTCAGTTCAACATCAGCAACATTGCCTGGCTCCATACCAGAGCTATGGATTATTTAAACCACATTTTAACAAGCTTCCTAGGGAATGTGTATGCCTAATGACTCTTGAAAGTATTGATAAGATGATCAGACCAACAGGATTTGGATAATCAGGGCAAGAAGCTGGCTTCAGAACTAGAATGAAAGGCTGCCCCATAAAGACTGAAGCTACATTAAAAAATTTAGACATTCTGGTGCAGATGATATTGATAACCAGATCATTCTCACCCAGAAATTATAATTCAAAGAGTCTCAACAATATTTCTTTCTGCTTCTTCCCTGTCTGGTTATCTATCTATCTATCTATCTATCTATCTATCTATCTATCTATCTATCTATCCATAGAGAGATAAATTCATATATCTATATATATTTTATAAAATTAAATTGCATATATTATATATTTTCTATTATGGTTTGCATCAGAAATGCCCCCGCAAACACTCACATGCTCAGAGGTGGATCTCTTGGAGGGGGATTCCTGGATCATGGAAGTACTGTACTTATGGATCCGTCCACTGGTGAGTTCAGCAGCTGAGTGTGTGGTGGGGAGCTGCTGCCTTGTGGGAAGAGGTGGACCCCTGCAGGCCTGACTTGGAAAGGTGTATCTCCCTTCCAGCTTCACCTTTCTATAGCCATCTCCTGACTACCGTGACATGAGCAGGTGTGCTCCACCATACCGTTTCTCCCTTGGAGCCAGTTGACCATGGACTGAAAGCATGAGTCAAAATAAGCCTCTCCTTTTCTTAAGCGGTGGGTCCAGCATTGTGGCTCAGCGATTTACTAAGAAAGTCTCCTATACTCCTAAAACTATCTCTTTTTCAAGTATACCCTAGAGATTTTTCTTTACTTCTAGTTTAAGAGATTTAATACGAAGAATATCTGATGGCTTTTTTAGTCATTCTGTGACCTAAAAAACCCTCTCTGAGGTCGTAATGTCATCTAAAGACAAACAGCCCATTGTACTTTCTCCTTTAAATCAGTAACTCGTCTCTGTATTGTAGCAATTTCTGCCTATGAGGGAAAAATTCCCTATGTACTTAGAAAGGGGATCCAGCTTCTTCTATCAGCATCTGGAAGATTTTTGTTCTAGCCTCCATATTCTACTTTTCCTTTGCCAGCTCTGCTCTTTCCAAAGCACCATTCCAGTCCTTTGAACTCAAACTCACCTTTCTCCTCCAGCTCTTCCTTGTGCCTCTCTTTGCCTTCCCTCCCAAATCTGACATTTATTTCAGATTATCATAGTCCTGGAACAGCTTTCACGGTAAGACACTATTTACTTTATGTCCATATTGTGCTCTGTAAACCAGCTGGGCTCTGGCCTTGAAATCAGTTTCCTTTGCTCGTTTCAACTTCAGATTTTTCACTGGCTCAGGAAGAGAATTCAGATACCTGTAATCGGGCATCTTCTTTTTTTCTAGTTCCTGTCCAAACATACCCTAGGCTTTAGAACCTCCTACATGTGAAATGGTAGCTGATTCTCACAGCTAATTGGAATTTATCTCTCCCCATATTGGCATCCTCAATTTCTAGCAGTCCTGTCTTTTTCCATTAACCACTGTCATTCTAGGAGACACTAATCCAAATTAGTTACTGAAATTATCCTTATCAAATTCTAATACATGCAGCACTTTGGTAACTGGTTCCCCTTCTCCTGAAAATTTCATCTAGAAGTTAGAAATCTTACCCTTTCAAGTATATCTCTTCCAGGTCACACTAAGCTCCAGATTTGGGGAAGATCAAGTTGAAAGGTTT